TTTGCATGTCATGAGTCTATTTCAGATATTAGTTTCACCTTTTAAGTTGAATTACTGAAATAAATGAACTTTTCCACAATATTCTAATTTTCCAAGTTTCACCTGTATCTCTTCAAAACTGAAGATCTGGAGGAGATAACGTCACAGCTCAGGGTCTGTGGTATCTGACTCTGACTTGGGGCCCCAGAAAAAGCACAAGTGGTGCAGAGCAGAGATATTGCAGTATTTGTGCCAGCTATTATAGCTGTACTGGACTGAATACCCCAGACAGAGCAGCTGCCTGGCACTTGGACTATGGTACAGTGTGGTGAGACATCAGACTGAATGCTGCTGTATTAAGGCCTGCGGTTCACAGTACAGATGGTGCTGTCTCTGCAGGGCTAGGGCAGTGGCAGCGGCGCATGGATGCAACTAATAAAAGCATGAATGGCGTGCTCTCGATGTGGAGCTCTGCGACTGTCTCTGCGTCGTTTTATCGCTTGCGAACCACACTGCTGGCTGCACAAAGTTATGGTGACGTTTCTTGCTCCCCAGGTGGCCAGAGATGCTGTTGCCTTATCATGGGCCTGTGCATACGGTAAGAAAATAAGAAAGTCTGCTAGACTGGATTAAAGGTCTGCCTCTTCAGTGGCCCTCTAGGTGTGCATGGTAAGTTCTTAAGAACGACATGAAGGCAACTCCTTCATGCATTGCATTTTCAGAGGTAGGCTTCCTTTGGACATGGGGGGTCCAATTAGCTATCACAGCTAAGAGTCCCCAATTGGCCTATTCAAAAGGAACTTGCCCAATCCTTTAGGAAAGAAAAGGACAACCATCTGTGCCAGTGGTCATCGCTTTATTGTGTGGCAGCAGATACCATAAAAAAAGACGCTCCAAGTGTCCCTATTTTTCAGGGACAGTCTCGGATTTAAAGAAGCCATCCTGGTTTCTGATTTGATCCCAGAATGTCCCGCTTTTCCTTAGGATGTCCCTATAGTCATCAGAAAAATGTTGCATGGAGTTATGCAACCCCCCCATGAGCCAATGAGATAAGTAACAACAGTGGTACCTCGGGTTACAGACGGTTCAGGTTACAGACGTTTCAGCTTACAGACTCCGCTAACCCAGAAATAGTACCTCGGGTTAAGAACTTTGCTTCAGGATGAGAACAGAAATCGTGTGGTGGCGCGGCAGCAGCAGGAGGCCCCATTAGCTAAAGTGGTGCTTCAGGTTAAGAACAGCTTCAGGTTAAGAACGGACCTCTAGAATGAATTAAGTTCTTAACCCGAGGTACCACTGTACAGTCAAACCTTGGCTCCCGAATGCCTCCGTTTTAGAACGTTTCAGCTCCCAAAAGCCGAAAACCTGGAAGTAAGTGTTCCGGTTTTTGAATTTTTTGGGAAGCCGAACCTCCGACGTGGCTTCCATTTGAGTGCAGGAAGCTCTTGCAACCAATTGGAAGCCGCGCATTGGTTGTCGAAAATTTTGGAAGTCGAATGGGCTTCCAGAGTGGATTACGTCTGACAACCGAAGTTTGACTGTATACTATCTTTAGAAGACATCCGAAGGACGTCCGGGGTGGCGCCATCGGCAATGGCGGACTCCCTCTGAACTGGAGGGACCAGCTCCACGGGAAAAGGGTCTTTTCCGCTACGGCGAAGCGGGGACCCATTTAAAAATCACAGGCGGATGAAGCCTGTGACCATGGGACTCAGCGGGCACCTTTAGTGCCCCCCAACCCGCAAAGGAACCCACTAACGGGCTCCGGAGCGAAGAGGGGGAAGTGGCGCGGTGCTGAGAGTCAACTGCTTCTTCCGTGGAGCAAAGCCGCACAGCCGTTGCCGGAGAGCGCTGCCTTTTTCCTGGGACAATTTGGCTTTTAAAACAACCACCCGTGAGTACTTAAGTTTTGGACAATTGGATTCTAAATAAGGATGTGCGAGCAGAAAGGAAAACTGGACTTAAAAGTTTAATTTAATTTGGCACTGAAACGGGAAGGTCTAAACAGGAAGTCAGGCTTCTGTTTCTTTGTAGATAGATTAAAGCAAAGACACGGCAAACTAGAGTTCTGAAAATCGTTTCTAAAGGATTAACTTTCATCATTTAAAATTGTTGAACCCCCTTCGGAAGCAGGAGAAGAGGGGGGATTTTTTTCCGGACTGTTTAAACCTGCAGAAGTGAGTGTAAAGTAAAGTAACTTTCCACTGTCTTGATCCTGGAGCGGGGGTCAGGACTGACGTTTTTTGAAGCTCATTGACCAGAGACAAACGTTTCTGACAGATAGCTAAAGGAAGAGATACATAGTGATTCCATTGTTCCCCTTCGCTTTTTAAAGGAACAAATACTGACAAAATATCTGAAAAAGGAAACTTTGTTGTTAGATATTTTTTTAAAAGAAAAGAAAAAACAGAAGTTCTTCCCCTAGAGGAGCCTGTGAAACTGTAACCAATTTTGAATCGGGGAGCCAGCAGCTGTTACAGATTACGATCGTGGGAATAGACTTCTGACTTTGCAGGACAATGTACTCAGAAGCTCTGTTGAGTGCTTTCTGTAAAACAAGTGCCATATTGTAACAGCTACATGAGAAGACGGATTTTATGACTGATGCGATTAGAAATTTTGGACAGGCAGTGGGAAACTATATAGAGCCCACCCAGGAATCAGATCAGGAGTGTGCCCTGACAGAACAGATTAGGGAAGAGGATGTTGCTGAATCTTGGGCGCCAGAGATGGAGGGAGTTGTGGCGCAGCAGGAACATGAATTCTTGGACTTGACAAATGAACTTGGAAAAAGCCAGATTTGGAAAGATAAAGTTTGGTTTGGCTTGGAAATGGGGGTTTGGATAGACCCCCCTATGCAGGGAGGTTTGGACTTTTCGAGTCTGGCAATGGGCCGTGAGATGTTTGGGGTTGTGGGGGCTCTCAATTTTGGAGAGCCTTTGAAACATGTTCTTAAATACCACATGGAGCTTAGTGTGGACTATGGAAAAGGGGCTGATTTGTCGAGAAGGGTCAAAAGCATTCTCAAGCTGGAGTTCCCAAGAGTGAAAGAACTAGGAGACAAAGGAAAATACAGCTATAAATATGAAGAAGAGCTGCGGAAGGGACATGGAAGGGACTTAAGGGCCTCGGACATAAGGTTACCAGGTTAATGCGCCAGATTGATGGGATAGAAAGGACTGACAAAACCCGGGTCCAGGAGGAAGAGATGCTGGATGAAGATTGGATTGTTATTCTTTTTTTTATTATGATTGTTTTATAAAATTGATGAATGTTAGAAAGATGTTGAAACGAAATTATTTGGCTCTAGTAAAAATGTTTAAAGAATTATGTAAGAATATTATGGTCATGAGAAATTGGTAAAAATAAGATTTAAGTTTTAAGGTTTTCATAGTAAGATAAGATTAAAATAGATTAAGGTAAAGTAATGACAGAATATTATGAAATATGGAAAGGATTTGCTGTGACAATTAACAACTAGGATACAAAAAAGGGAGGAGGAGGAGGTCAAAGAAAGAAGGTAATGACAGTTAAAGAGTTGAGACTATTGGATTTGTTTTTAAATGTTTGTGACATATTTTTGTTTTTTAATTGTGTTGTGTTATTTTTTGATCTTGATTTTTATTAATCTGTATTGTTGGATTGTGGTTTGTCTTTTCTCTGTTTTTTCTTTCTTTTTTTTTCTTCTTTGTTTTCTTTTGTAATTCTATAATTTTCAATAAATATCATTTAAAAAAATAATAAAATAGAAGACATCCGAAGGCAGCCCTGTATAGGGAAGTTTTTAAATGTTTAATGCTTTGTATTTATATACATTGGAAGCCGTGGGACGCGGGTGGTGCTGTGGGTAAAACCTCAGTGCCTAGGGCTTGCCGATCGTATGGTCGGTGGTTCGAATCCCCGCGGTGGGGTGAGCTCCCGTCTTTCGGTCCCAGCTCCTGCCCACCTAGCAGTTTGAAAGCACCCTTAAGTGCAAGTAGATAAATAGGTACCGCTTTACAGCGGGAAGGTAAACGGCGTTTCCGTGTGCTGCGCTGGTGCCAGAGCAGCTTCGTCACGCTGGCCACGTGACCCGGAAGTGTCTCCGGACAGCGCTGGCCCCCGGCCTCTTAAGTGAGATGGCCGCACAACCCTAGAGTCGGACACGACTGGCCTGTACGGGCAGGGGTACCTTTACATTGGAAGCCACCTGGAGTAGCTGGGTGGCAACCCAGTAAGATGGGCAGGGTATAAATAAAATAATAACAATAGGATGTCCCTATTTTCTTTGGAGAAATGTTGGGTATGAGAGATTGATCTAGAGGCAGCAGCTAGTGCAGAACACAACAGCTTGGCTGCTTACGGCGGGGGCAAACTACCTTGTTTGCATGCTTACGGCGGGGGCAAACTACCTTGTTTGCATGCTTCCAATCTGCTACAAGGCCAAATTCACATCTCTGCTGCTAACATATAAGGCCCTATGGAGCTCGGGATGAGGTTAGTTCTCCTTCAGGGAGAGTGCAAACCCATCCAGGGCATGCAACCAAGCAACTTCCCAGATGCAGTCTTAAGGTTCCAGAGTCTCTTTCTTTTCCTTGTTTGAAGTACTTGTTTGCCACTCGCAAAGCCATTCGCTAGGTCCGTACAATTTTGCAGTCCTTAGACAGGCAGGAACCAACGGGGGGGGGGGCTACTGACCCCCTAGGGGGCACCATTCTGTAGGGCAGGTTGCAAGTTGTACAGACCTGCCATACCAGCTCCCCTGGCTGCCATGACGATGCCTTTCCCGTCTCTCTCTCGCTGAAAGTGACAGGCAAGGGAAGATGATGGCACACCGAAGCACACATGCAAGGGCTGAACTTCAGAGACCTGCGCCAGGAAGCCATTAGCATATGGCATCAGTTCCATCTTCCACTTGAGACCCTTGTGCACCTGCTAGGGCCCTTCCTCTGGGAGCACGGCAGAAAAGAGGGGACCGTTAGGTGTTGTTGTTTTAAGCCAGAGTCCTGTTGCCACAGCAACCACTCTCAGAACAGGGGAAGGGCCGTAGCTCCATGGCAGAGCATCTGCTATGCATGCAGAAGGTCGCTGGTTCAATCCCCAGCATCGCCAAGCAGAGCTGAGAAAAACTCTTCTCTGTAACAAATCCTGCAGAGCCGCTGGCAGCCTATATAAAGGTAAAGGGACCCCTGACCATTAGGTCGAGTCGTGGCCGACTCTGGGGTTGCGGCACTCATCTCGCTTTGGCAGTGAGCCGAGCGGCAGCCCGGCGTCATGTGGCTAGCATGACTAAGCTGCTTCTGGCGAACCAGAGCAGCACACGGAAACGCTGTTTACCTTCCCGCCAGAGCGGTACCTATTTATCTACTTGCACTTTGACGTGCTTTCGAACTGCTAGGTTGGCAGAAGATGGGACCAAACAATGGGGATTCGAACCGCCAACCTTCTGACCGGCATGTCCTAGGCTCTGTGGTTTAACCCACAGCGCCACCCGCGTCCCGTGTTCAGAATACTGGGCTATAATAAAAGATGGCATCTGCTTCCCAGATGGGGGAAAAGAGCAGCGAGGCAGAATCCCCATCAAGTTTTCACGGCCCACGTTCTAACCTCAGGGTACTTCCCAACATGCTGAGTCTGCTGAAGTCATGATGTCAGCAACACACAGCAAAATGGAAGCTAATGCGAAGGTGGGGGCAGCAAGGTTGCGATGGCCAGCAGCGCAGGTCGGCCACTGTTGACATCTGCCAGGACAGCATTCCACAGGGTGGGGGCCACTACCAAGAAGGCCCTCTGCCCAGTTTCTTATAGCTTCACATCTCGCAGTGAGGGAACTGCCAGACGGCCCTCGGAGCTGGACCTCCATGTCTAATAATAATAATAATAATAATAATAATAATAATAATAATAATAATAATTTTATTTATACCCTGCCAGGCTCAGGGCGGCTAACACCAAATATGAATTACAATAAAACGTAAGAGAAAACAACAACAGTTAATTAAAATACGGCTTAAAATGCAGCTTAAAATGCAGCTTCATTTTAGTAGTAGCCCATAAATCAAGACCATAAAGGGAGGAAACATCAGATATTCACCCGAGCCAGCTGTCCATGCTGGTCCAACATGGGCCAGCATAAAAGCCAAGGGAAAATTTATATACCAAATCCCACATAAGGGGTCAGAGTGAGTCTAAGCCGAAGGCTGAACAATGTGGGTGGAGATGTTCCTTCAGGTTTATATGGCCGAGGCTGTTTAGGGCTTTAAAGGTCAGCAAGAAACACTTTGAAATGTGTCCTGGAAATGTTCACCGGTCGTAACACTACACAGGCTTTCACCCTGTTGCACTATGCAGGTGAGCCTATCAGATTTCCCGGACTATTATTATTTATAATAATAAATAATGTGTATGTGTACCTGCAAAAAAGCTGGCGAAATGCCAGAAGGGAACTTACATAACGTGGTGGGTTGTGGTTCGGATCCTGATAGTGCTATTAGTACTGTGCAATGCGAGCATCATTAGAAATCGCAACTCCTCCGCTGCAGCCTCTTCTCTCTCCCGGTGCTATTTTAAACACCAGAACAATTACACACACCCCACTTGTGGGGTTGGGAGGCTATGTGCAAGCTGAATGGGTCAAATGCATTTATAATGTGCTGGTTAGGATGTGAGGACATACCCCAGCACACACCTCCCTCCTTCATTTCTTTGGAAGTCTCTGAAATAACCGAAAAAAGCCGAGGGAAGGGATATAAACAAAACTGCAGGCAGATTTACAGCAGTTCGCAATACTGAGCAACAGGATCCCTGTTAGCTCAATGCAGCCAGCAGCTGGAAGGGGCAGCAGCCGTCTGCCTTTGCAGAGAAAGGAACAAACCGCCTGTTTCCTCTTAAGATCAAGTACAGTGGTACCTCAGGTTACAGACGCTTCAGGTTACAGACGCTTCAGGTTACAGACTCTGCTAACCCAGAAATAGTACCTCGGGTTAAGAACTTTGCTTCAGGATGAGAACAGAAATCGTGTGGCGGCGGCGGGAGGCCCCACTAGCTAAAGTGGTGCTTCAGGTTAAGAACAGTTTCAGGTTAAGAATGGACCTCCAGAATGAATTAAGTTCTTAAACCGAGGTACCACCGCATCCCTATTTTCCAGGGACATTCCTGGATTTACAGAAGCTGTCCTGGTTTTTTATTTGATCTCAGAATGTCCCGCTTTTCCTTCGGATGTCCCTATTTTCATCGGAGAAATGTTGGAGGGTATGGAGTTATGCGACCCCCGAGCCAAGGAGATAACTATACAGTGGTACCTTGGGTTACAGGCGCTTCAGGTTACAGATGCTTCAGGTTACAGACTCCGCTAACCCAGAAATAGTACCTCAGGTTAAGAACTTTGCTTCAGGATGAGAACAGAAATTGTGCAGCGGTGGCAGCAGGAGGCCCCATTAGCTAAAGTGGTACCTCAGGTTAAGAACAGTTTCAGGTTGAGAACAGACCTCCAGAACGAATTAAGTTCTTAACCCGAGGTACCACTGTACAACATTTAGAAGACATCTGAAGGCAGCCCTGTATGGGAAAGATTTTTTTTAATGTTTAATGTTTTTATATGTGCTGGAAGCCACCCAGAGTGGCTGGGATAAGCCAGTCAGCTAGGCGGGGTATAATAATAATAATAATAATAATAATAATAATAATACTGTATTGGCCTGAATATAAGCCACACCCAAATATAAGCCGCACCTTTAAAATTCAAGAGGAAAAAATAAAAAAAATACAATACCCGAATATAAGCCGCTCCCTTAAAATTCCGCTGGCACTCACACCCGTTCTGTTTTGCCGTATTGTCTTTTTCAGCAACAATATAGTAACAACCAGTTTTTGTAAGGTTGCAAATTTAAGCCGCACTTTAACTTTTCACGGTCGAATTTGGAAAAAAAGTGAGGCTTATATTCAGGCAAATACGGGAACCAGGTGGAAGGGACCATGTCCAGAGTTGGGCTGCTGGGGGGGTGGAGTACCAGACCAGGGTTTGTCGTGAGGTCAATAGTGAGGGGAGGGCAGGGGGGGGAAATATGGATGGCGGCTTGCAAGAAGTTTTGTAAGGAGGACTATGTGAAATATTGCAGAGAAAAGTATGAAGAGAACTATTAGTGAAGGACTATTACAAGTAATAGTGAAATTAATGAAACACAGATTAAATGATAAAGATTGAAAAATCTTCAGATGTGGTTGATGAAAGTCCAAAACACTGAATAAGATGAGAAAATATGTTGTATGTTGGTTTTTTTTGGAAATTTCATGTAAAAATTAAAATATATTTAAAAAAGAATATGGATGGCGGCATGTATTTACTTACATATTTAATTGCAGCATTCCATGTATAAGACAACCCCCAATTTTAAACTTTAAAAAATTGGGGGGAAATCTTGTCTTATACACGAAAAAATATGGTAAGAAGAAGAAGGAATAGGGCATCCCTATTTTCATTGGAGAAATGTTGGAGGGTATGGCATCTGAGTGCCATGAGGCATCTTGAAATCTCATTGCGTGGGGAAAAAACTCACTCCAGTTTTTATTCTGATTCTTTGAGAGTGTCTCTCATTTTGCTCTGAAGGCGGAGACTCTCAGTCTCTCAGGGAGCCCCAAGAACATCTACCAGCAAAAGTGGCCTTTAGATTGGTCTCAACGGGGGCCAGGGCCTTTTCAGTACTGGCCCCGACTTGGTGGAACGCTCTGTCACAAGAGACTAGGGGCCTGCAGGACTTGACATCTTTCCACAGGGCCTGCAAGACAGAGCTGTTCCGCCTGGCCTTTGGTTTGGACTCAGTCTGACCCTTATGTTTTCCCTCCCCTTATGGTTTTGATCTATGGGCTATTATTAAAACGAGACTGCATTTTAAGTTATATTTTAACCTGTATTTTAAATTGGTTTATTTATTTATTTTATTTTTTATTGTAATTTTACTGGTGTTAGCCGCCCTGAGCCCAGCTCTGGCCAGGGAGGGCGGGGTATAAATAAATATTATTATGATTATTATGATTATTATTAAGTGGGTCTTCCCTGTCTCCGCACCTCAGAGTGGAAGGGGGCTCCTTCCCAGCTCTTGTTCTAAATCTATCTCAACGCAGGATTTCTAAGAGCTTCCATCTACAAATCCTGGTTGCAATCCTGAGCTGTTCTTATCTGCTTTGTTGTCTAAATACGGCTTTAAGGATATTGCAACATGGTTCTCAATTATTTCGATGAATATTTTTTTTTGGAGGGTGGGTAGCAAATGTTGTATCTGAAAACACCCCAAACTGCAGCACCCCTACACTTTGCTGTTGCCAAGCTTCCAGCGAAGGAGACTCCCTTGCAAGCTCCTTTCTTCCCTCCCTCCCTCTCTCCCCTTCCCCCCTCCCAACCTTGGGGCCACTGCAGTTGCTGAGGTTGCTTGCCTGTTAATTCTGATGGGCTGAGTCAGCAGAGTGAGCTCAGGGGAGAGACTCATCAAAGCATCTGGGCAGGAGAAAAAGTAAATGAAGAGAATGTGTGTGTGCGCCCGTTGAGCAAAGGAATACAGCACAGTGTCAGAAAACACATTTAGCAAGCTTTGGACTCCTGAGACCTTTTCTCCAACATTAGAGGGGGGAAATGAGGAGCACGGGGTGAGGACAAGCAAGTTTGGGAGCTAAATTCCCTCGTCTGTTATGAAAACTCCAGGTTCGTAGCATCGCCCCTGTTTTAACAAATGCAACATCGCTCTATGAGACCTGGTACCCAGTATGCATGCATTAGGTTACTGCATTTGGGTGGGTGCTGTTTAGATTCTAAACAAGGGTCTTGCCCAGAAATGGCAATGGATCCATTTTGGGCATGTTCTAGAGCAGGCACGTCCAACCGGTCAATCGGGATCTACCAGCCGATTGTGGTGTGTCCCTGGTTGATCCTGGGATCCTGACCGCCCCCCCCCCCAACAACTTTGGCTACCCCCCAAAACTCAACAACTCTGGTCAATCAAATGGGTAGATCACTGCCAGATTTTTTTATAGTGGGAGTAGATCCCAGTCTCTTGGAAGTACCTGATCTAGAGTAAGGGTGGAAAATATCTGCTGGAAATGTAAAGGAAAAGAAGGCACCTTTTATCATATGTGGTGGTCTTGCAAGGTAATAAAAGCATTCCTGGAAATAATATAAAGTGCTACAGACACTTCAGGTTACAGACTCTGCTACCCAGAAATAGTACCTCGGGTTAAGAACTTTGCTTCAGGATGAGAACAGAAATCGTGTGGCGGCAGCAGTGGGAGGTCCCATTAGTGGTACCTCAGGTTAAGAACAGACCTCCAGAATGAATTTCTCTTCTCATCCTGAAGCAAAGTTCTTAGCCCGAGGTACTATTTCTGGGTTACGGAGTCTGTAACCTGAAGTGTCTGTAACCTGAAGCGTCTGTAACCTGAGGTACCACTGTATAATGAATTGAAACAAATATGTTTAAAATAACTTTTATTTTTAAAAAACCCAGAAGCTTTTCTATAATTGTAGGTGCTGATATTCCAAGGGAGCAGAAAAGACTTTTTACGTATGCAATGACTGTTGCATGGATACTGTTAGCCCAGAGATGGAAAAAAGATAAAATCCCTACAAGAGAAGAATGGCAAATTAAACTGTTAGACTATGCCGAAATGGCAAAACTGACTGGAAAGCTCAGGAACCAAGAAAACCAAAACTTCAGTAAGGCATGGATTATTATTTTTTTATAATTTATCTTAGAGACCACTGTAAGCAGTTGAAAACATTAGCAGGATTGCAATAACTCTTGTAATGTAATGTAATGTAATGTAATGTAATGAGAACAATGGAGACAATGGAGTTATAAAAAAGATGGATTACTCAAAAAGATGCAGTAGAAAAGGTTTAACAACAGAATCCATGGAGAGGAAGGTGGGAAGTCCAGAGATTCGGAGGAATTTTTTAATTGTGAATGTGTGTTGTGGTATTACTATAATTTTATATTTGTAAAGCCAAATAAAAATTATTTCAAAAATAAAATAAAAATAGAGTAAGGGTGGCAAGCACATAGGCTAAATCTGGCCCCAAAGCAAATTTTGTAGTGTTTCCTTCGAGCCAAGGCAGGAGAAGTTCTCTACCCAGCCCTATGATGGGGTGGGAATTTGCACTATCTCTGCTTCTCACACTGATTATCTAAAAAGCAGAGAGGGCATGGTTTTCCTCTTCTGTCACAGTGCCGGGCAGGAAAATAACTGTTACACGCACAGATCAGCTGAGGAAATAGGGTGTGTGATGATGTGCATGTGTTGTATTTTTCGCTCTATAAGAAACACTTTTTCCCTCCTAAAAAGTAAGGGGAAATGTGTGTGCATCTTATGGAGCGAATGCAGGCTGCACGGCTATCCCAGAAGCCAGAACAGCGAGAGGGATCACTGTGCAGCGCTCCCTCTTGCTGTTCTAGCTTCTGGCTTAGCCCCTCTGTCCCTTCCCCCACCTCCCGGAAAAATCCACAAGAACCGCGCTCCCTCTAAAGAGCCGCGCGGAGCGTGTGTGCAGCTCTTGGGGGCTTTTCCCCGAGGAGGGAGAAGGGCAGCCCATCAGTGACGGGCTGCCCTTCTCCCTCCTCGGGGAAAAGCCTGCAAGTGCCGCACACGCGCTCCACGTGGCTCATGAAAGGGAGTGCTGAGCAGAGCCTGGGATGCATAAGGCTCTGCTCAGTGCTCCCTTTAAAGAATATTTTTTCCCCTTGCATTCCCCCTCTAAAATCTAGGTGCGTCTTATGGAGCGAAAAATACGGTATGTGTGCTCTGGACTTGGTTGGCCACATCCCAGGAGGAGTTTCAAACAGGGCAATGTGGCTCATGGGCTGGATAACATTGGTCTCCATCTGAAGGCAGCCCTGTTTAGGGAAGTTTTGAATGTTTAATGCTGTACTGTGTTTTTAATATTCGGTTGGGAGCTGCCCAGAGCGGCTGGGGAAACCCAGCCAGATGGGCGGGGTATAAATAATAAATTATTATTATTATTATTATTATTATTATTATTATTATTATTATCTCTGATCTAGAGAATCCCTTGCCAATTAGCCCTCAAGGTCTTGTATTTGATCCTGGCCATCTCCAGTTTTGTGGCTTGCCCCCCCACCCTCCCAATTATATTTTATTAAGTTTCTACAAATACAATCAAAACACAATTTTCTCTTATTTTTGTTGACTTCCCACTTCTTTCTGCATGTTGTTGTTTCTCCCCTTCTGCCGCACCCTAACTGGGTTGCCATATTTTGAAGAGCAAAAAAGAGGAAACATTTGCCGTCTTCTACTTTTAACTACGGATCACTATGACGACTCTCGGTTTATATACCCACGAAAAAGAGGACTTGTCTTGGAAAAAGACGACATAAGGCATCCCTTAAAAAATTGTAATCACAATATTAGAATATAATTACTTCTGTTGCTCATTGTTCAAATCCTGCTCTCGAGTCCATCACACTATAATATTTCTTTAAATAGTCTGAAAAAGGCACCCATTCTTCCATAAAGCACTCAATCTCTTAATTTTGCTATTAATTTGAGCACTTCTGCACAGTTCATTATCTTGCTTATCCATTCTTTTTTGCTTGTAACTTCTTCCTTCCATTTTTGCGCATACAGAACCCCGGTTTTGGAGGCTGTTTTTCAAACAGTATGAAACCTCTGGGTGAGATCCTGAAGAGGACAGCTCCTTCCACTCAGAGGATGGGCAAATAAACCTCACAAAAAGGCAGTTTCCGGTTTCCTTTGCCTCGCCGGCACAAGCTGAGCGCTAGCGAGACAGGCACAGTGGGGCTCAGGCGTTCGTTTTCGGGACAGCGGAGGCTGTGTCATAGGCAATGTCACTGGCAGCACCCATGAGATGTCTGTGGCCGCTGTCTGCAGCCACAGACCAGATGGCATGACAAATTGCAGCAGCTCCGCTAGCGAGGCAAGCTAGGGCGAGAGCCACGTTTCCTCACAGCGACAATGCACTACACAGTTTGAACGCCTGACACACGTGCAGCGCACCTCAGAAAGTAAGAGCTTCCTTGAGGGGAAGCATCTGGATCTCAAACAACGGCTCATCTGTTTGTGCTATAAACCCATCGCCTGGAAAAGACCCTTGAAAGAGGCAGACTAGATCCGATGACTGGTAGGTCTGACTCATTAAATCCCCAGCGCCCTGCCCCAGCCGGCAGGATAGCTCAGTCGGTAGAGCATGAGACTCTTAAACTCAAGGTTATGGGTTCAAGTCCCACATCCGGCAAAATGATTTCTGAATTGCAGGGGTTTTAATCAGATGACACCCCCCAGACCCTTCCAGCCTAGTTTCCTGCTCCCAACTGCAGTGTGGGTTTGTAGGATCAAGGCAGATGGGTTGACTTTTTAGAGTAAGAGGCACTAAACTCTCCCCGTGTCTACTGCTTATCTGCACTATCGGGCTGGGGGAAGTCAGTGTCAGGAGTTCAGCCTACACTCGAGTAGGACCCTGGCAGAGACACATGCCCGACTGGCATGTTCTCTCCCTCCTGGTTGATCGTTTGGGAGCTTCAAAAGCTTTCTTCAGCCTGAACATCACAGCGACCGATAGCAACAGACATCGGCACACTTAGGGATTCGCAGAGTTTGTGCATGATGCGTAACAGACCTCAGTAACTCAGCATTTTGGCTAATCTACTTCATTTACATATAAACACACACGGAGCACCGCAACATGGCTCCCTCTCTCTCTAGCATCAGACAGCAAAGAGAAAAAGAACAAAGGGCAATAGTCCCACTTCACGGAACACAGTAACACAAACATCCTGTCTCAGTTACTTCCCACTTTGTGGAGTCAAAAAATATACTGTCATGTGAAAGATGACAATCCCATGACTGCAATCACGGAGCAGGAATTCTAACAGTCAGGAAGGGGTGCAAACTTGAATAAAATATTGGGGGGAGAAGGTAAGCCCCACCACACATTATCGATCACATGACACGGCATGCACACACCATTTGAATGGCAATGCTCATCAATTTTGAGGGGCAGCAGCCCCCTCAAATATGTTACTGGGGGCCAAAGGAACCTCAGCCCCTAAGAGGTGGCTCTTATGGGTCAGGAGATTGAGGGAAATCATGGGTGACGAGGGAAGACTCAGCGCCCCTCCCTTGTGTGCCCCCTTTTGCTCTTCAAGCCCCCCCCCCAAATCCTGGATATGCTATGTCTGACTGTGGTTAGTATTGAGGCAAACACACACTGCTCACATTTCTCACATTTACCGCCATAATGATCACACCGCCCAACACTTTCTCCAGTGAAAACAGAGACATCCCCTCCAACATTTCTCTGATGAAAATAGGGATAGCTTATGGAAAAGCTGGACATTCTGGGATCAAATCAGAAACTGGGACGGCTTCTGTAAATCCGGGACTGTCCTTGGAAAACCGGGACATTTAGAGGGTCTGGATTATTCCCTCAGCACCTAAGCACCGAACATAAGACTGCAGGTGTGGTGAGCCCTCCTTCGAACATAAGCTCTTGAAAGGGAGTGAATAGCAGTGAGTTAGAACAAGGCAACTTGTGGAACAGAACCAAGGTTAGAATACATTTTCTTAGCAGTCCTTTTGAAAGGCTATAATGCTTATGTCCTGATAATAAACACTTGATTTGCCAAATGCAGCATAGCAGAGATTCGGCTACTGAGAGGCACTCAAACTGTTGAGTTTAAGAATTGATTTTGATGATAATGATGGTCCCATTGTGTAACAGAAGCAAAAACAAAACAAAAAACTAGGTATTTATCCTTAGGAACATATAAACCAATAACAAAAAATAGGTTAATTTTAAGAGATTGGTTTGATTGGTCTGCTAAGGTTTCGGCACCAAAGCATTATCTAAGCATTAAGGAACCGGGTACCTTCTGGATATAGTAGGACTCCATCTCCCATCATCCCTGACCATTGGCTATGCTAGCTGGGTCTGATGGGAGTTGGAGTCCAACAATCTGAAGTGTCAGAGATTCTCCATCCCTGCATTAGTCATTTCTATTATTCATTTTTGTATCTGGTATATTTATCACAGCATGATCTCCTATGTGTTTTCTCATAAGTTAACACCACTGAGTTCAAAGGGGCAGACTCCCAGATAAGCATTTAGACGACAGCAACCTTATTGTTAACTCTTTTTCTTTCGGTAGCCCAGTTGTGATGAAGTATCATTCTTTATTATCCATTTCTGAGATTTTCCTTTTCAGGTGAACTGCATAAAGTAGAAACATCTTGGGCATAATGACTTAACATTACATTCACCTTTGTGCCTTCTTACCGACTGCTTTCTTTGTTCTATTTCTAGGCCGGACACCTTTTGATTCAGTCAATTAAGGACATTTTTTTCCCCATGGAGCAAAGCCAGAAAATAAAGAGTGGTTGCATCGGGTTTCTGTAACAGATTCGGTGTCAGCATCCAGCACAATTTTTAAATATTGTTTCTGTTTTGGCAGATAATCAAGAGTCTCTGTATCTCCGTCAGAAGGCTGGTGGACAAGGCATGCAAACACCCCCAGGGATCTGTGCTCGCCTCTCGGAAAAAGTAGAGTTGCCAACTTTTCTTTTTTAACTAGCCAGGCTGCTGTGTCTTTAAAAGCAACAGCTGGAAATTCAGCAGGTGGACATATTTTTCCTGCTGTTTTTCTACAGAGCTACTTCACCTGTTTAATCTTCACAGGCCATTTTGTTATTAGACACAGGAGGAAAATTGCTGGGGGAAAGCTGGCAAGCTTATCGATGCCACAAAAGGCAAATGGCCAGGTGTAGCAACATCTGTACAGGGACACGGGTGGCGCTGTGGGTTAAACCACAGAGCCTAGGACTTGCTGATCAGAAGGTCGGCAGTTCGAATCCCCGGGGTGGGGTGAGCTCCCGTTGCTCGGTCCCTGCTCCTGCCAACCTAGCAGTTTGAAAGCATGTCAAAGTGCAAGTAGATAAATAGGTACCGCTCCGGCGGGAAGGTAAACGGCGTTTCCGTGTGCTGCTCTGGTTCGCCAGAAGCGGCTTAGTCATGCTGGCCACATGACCCCGAAGCTGTACGCTGTCTCCCTTGGCCAAGAAAGCAAGATGAGCGCTGCAACCCCAGAGTCGGCCAGGACTGGACCTAATGGTCAGGGGTCCCTTTACCTTTAGCAACATCTGTAAAATCTGTCTGAGTGGCTACCAGGTCCACGGCTTTGAAGTGCAAAATCAAAGGTGCCCACTTTGCACTTCTAATGTACTTCCCCTGTGCTTTCAGATCAGCGTTTGAAATTCACCAGGTGCATTTTTTGCACCAGGCTGCCGGCCACTTGCAACCAAGCGAAGACGCCCGGGCGCAAGGATGGCGTCTGACGTCTAGACCATCTAGAGGTGCATGCCTGGGGATCCTTGGATCTGGACTGTTTTCACACTCTAGCAGCACATCCAATCCATTACATTTTATCTGCACAATCAGAATGGATTTCAGGAACCAAAAAGTTCTCTTGAAAAATTTGACTTTGGAGCTGTCTGCCCCACAAATGCGAACTAGGCATTCTGCTTTGGTGATTGTAACCCTGATTTAAGGAGCCATTTGGCACCTAGCTTATATAGTGGTACCTCAGGTTAAGTACTTAATTCGTTCTGGAGGTCCGTACTTAACCTGAAACTGTTCTTAACCTGAAGCACCACTTTAGCTAATGGGGCCTCCTGCTGCTGCCGCGCCGCCGGAGCACGATTTCTGTTCTCATCCTGAAGCAAAGTTCTTAACCTGAAGCACTATTTCTGGGTTAGTGGAGTCTGTAAACTGAAGCGTATGTAACCTGAAGCGTATGTAACCCGAGGTACCACTGTATATCTGAATTTCCCCAACCTGAATGAATGAATTGATGTATTTTGGTCACTGACCAGAGTGCGTTTCCACAGGTTGTGACAAAAGTGATGCAAGGGAGAGCCAACACCAGAGCTTTTTTTCAGCCCGAATTTAACAGAATTCAATTCTGGCACCACTCGGGTTGGTGCCATTGCCATTGTAAGAGAACAAGGCAGGCATTCATGTGATTTCTGACCCTTCTTTTTCTAAACACATAGCATTGGCCATAACTATCAACAAACAACATCACAGGGCCCATGAAGCATTTGCAGTGTTTGTGTGCATTATGTATATGTATCTTCGTGGTGTGTGTGTGTGTAGTGTGGGGACCCTTTGACCTTCCATATGTTCCTGAACTATAACTCCCATCAGCCTTTGCAAGCATGGCTTGATGGCCAAGGATGGCAAGAGCTGTAGTTCTTCAGGGTACCAGTCCCTCTGGGGGTTCCCAGGTTTTCAAACCTGGTGTAGTGGAATCAAGATCTAGAGCTATGATGAGGTCAAAGAGCTATTCCATGACCGTCTCGCATTCGCTGGCTCTGCTGTCATGACTTTAACAGCAGTCTGAGACAGGAATTTGCCAGGCAAAGCGTCTTGCACCACAGAGGTAAGGAACAGGAAAAGCGTCCCACAGGCTATATTTCTATGTGTCAGGCCAACCATTATAAACACAGAGGGGATCTGAGCCAGGATAGGAGCAAATGGCAGAGAGAGAGAGAGAGAGAGAGAGAGAGAGAGAGGACGCTGTTTGACACCGATGACTTGCAGGTTGTCACTTTTTCAGTCTCAACTTGGAGGGTGACTGGTTAACTGCAGGGGCTAATCTACTAGGAAACTACAGTGGTACCTCGGGTTACATACGCTTGAGGTTACAGACTCCGCTAACCCAGAAATATTACCTCAGGTTAAGAACTTTGCTTCAGGATGAGAACAGAAATTGTGCTCCGGCGGTGCGGCAGCAGCAGGAGGCCCCATTAGCTAAAGTGGTGCTTCAGGTTAAGAACAGTTTCAGGTTAAGAACGGACCTCCTGAACAAATTAAGTACTTAACCTGAGGTACCACGTGTAGGGACATGGGTGGTGCTGTTGGTTAAACCACAGAGTCTAGGACTTGCCAATCAGAAGGTTGGCGGCTCGAATCCCCGCGACGGGGTGAGCTCCCGTTGCTCGGTCCCTGCTCCTGCCAACCTAGCAGTTCGAAAGCACAAAGTGCAAGTAGATAAATAGGTACCGCTCCGGCGGGAAGGTAAACGGCGTTTCCGTGCGCTGCTCTGGTTCGCCAGAAGCGGCTTAGTCATGCTGGCCACATGACCTGGAAGCTGTACGCCGGCTCCCTCGGCCAATAAAGCGAGATGAGCGCCGCAACCCCAGAGTCGGCCACGACTGGACCTAATGGTCAGGGGTCCC